AAAATACAGTGAATGTTTAAATATAAAAGAAAATATATTAAAATAAAAAGACATGTTGCCATGGATCTCTCTCAAAACACTCCCCTAAGTGTGGAACACACTCATCCCAGCGTTCTTGCCGCTCCCTGAAGCAGCTCAGAGTCCTCTGTCGTGAGTGTCTTTAGTTGCACTGTTGTAGCTGCTTTGATGTCCAGAATCCATTCAAAATATTTACTTTTCATGGTCATTTTGACCTTGGGGAAGAGCCAGGAGTTGCCCTGTGCCGGACCCGGTGAATAAGGTGGGTGAGGACAGGGTGTCATGTTTTTAGGAGCTGCCTTTCCGCTGGACGGCGCTCAGCAGTAGCATTCACTGGATTTTGATCACAACGAAAGAGGACTGCAGAGCTGCTTCAGAAAGTGGTGAGTGTGTTTGAAGAAGGGCACTAGGTAGTGCACGCTCTCGGGGGTGCTCGATGGCAATGTGTCTTACTGTAATAAGTGTTTTTTTGTTTTTGTTTTTTTTGGCAGTACCAGGGATTGAACTCAGGACCTTGAGCTTGCAAGGCAGGCATGGCACCACTGAGCTAAATCCCCGGCCCAATAAGTGTTTTAAAATGTAAACATTCCCCATGTATTTTCATCACACCTCCTCCTCAGCATCATCGCCATCATCCATTACTAACTGCAGCTGACACTTTTGCTGGTTTCTGGGCACCAGGGGATTCTCTCTGCATTTCATGGCGTCCTCACATCCGGCCCTGAGTCTCCTGCCCCTTCAGAGATGGGGGCTGAGTCCCAGAGGCTGTAACTTGCTGTGCATCAGGGGCCTCCCTCCCCGCTGTCAGTGCTTTGCCTTTGCCCTCAGACCTCAGCACGGGCGTTCCAGGCCCTGGCGACCTGGCCAGTGCTAGGGGATGCAGGGGATCCCTGTCCTCAGGGGAGACACCTGGGTGACCAGGATGTCTCAGGGGCCGTTCTGTAAGAAAGCAGGCAGGGCCAGCCGGTCTCCTCTCCATCTCCTTCTTGTCCTATCCCAAGGCCGGATGCGGGCCCAGGCCACCTGGCCACCTTTGAACCCTGGCCTTAGGGTTCTGATTGAGGGATGGCACCCAGCAGGCTGTGCTGAGGCCGGAACTGGTGTCCCCTCCGCCCTGAGCACACTCCCACCTGGCCTGGCAGACCCAGCATCCTGAGCGGACTCTGATGCTCATGGGCAGACCCTCGGTGCCCCCGTCCCCCTCTCAGGCCATCTGCCTCTACCAGCCTGGCCAGCAGACACTCGGTGAGGGCTCTGGGCTGGGATCAGCTGGCAGCCATCGTCTGGGCCTCCCCCTACCTGTGCCCTGTGGAGTGGCCTGGAAGGGGCAGCCATGTCCACCCTGCAGCAATCTCTGGGCTGGCAGAGCTGGGCACAGCCACAGTTTAGAGGTGGGGACACAGGGATTTGCTGAGGCTCATGATGCCCCATCTTTTCTGGGACTGGGTTTCTGTTTGATGAGCAAGGGACTGTCTTAAAAAATGTGTTGGGACGCAGTAGAATATTACTCAGCCATAAAAAGGAACTGGCATGCCTAGGGAAGCACTGTGTCAGGTGAAAGAAGGTGGATAGCCACAGAGGCCATGCGTGCTGTGACCACATTTATATGACATGTCCGTAGGACAATCCGTAGGTACAGAAGGTGGGGTCATGGTGGCCTTGAACTCACTACATAGCCCAGGCTGGCCTCGAACTCATGGTGATCCTCCTGCCTCAGCCTCCCGAGTGCTGGGATCACAGGTGTGCGCCACTGCACCCAGATGCAATTTATTCTCTCTCTCAGAGCAGACACTTGGCCAAACTCCATGGTAGACACTGGTGAGCCCAGCCTGGCCTCAGGTCCACCCATCTCACTTTAGCTTAGCCTGCCAGGTGCCTGTATGGCATGGGGTCAGGCAGAGGTCCTGTTTTCTGGGTTATCAGACTTTGAGGTCCTGGGTGGCTCTCAGCACAGGACACCACTGGGCCTCGTGCTCAGGATGACAGCGGAAGCCAGGACTCTTGCCTGGCACAGAGCCGTCCTTGCACTTGGCCTGCGCTTGGTGGCGTGTCATGCTGTTGTTCTGTCCCCGCCTCTGTGTGTCGCGTGTGGCTGCGTGTGGCACATGGTGAAGACTACTGCCCTGGGCATGGAGTGGGAAGGCCAGGAGGGCTTCCGGAGGAGGTGGCACCGGACAGGGTCCCAACCCAAGGGGAGTAGGCGGCTTGTCCCTGATGTGGGGGTCCCAGGGGTGGGACCCCTCGCTCTCAGTGCAGACAGCTTTTCCTAAGGCAAACCCCAACGATATTCACTCAAAACATAGGCAGATATATCTGTAATCAATGCACTGTTGGAGGGTGAGGCAGGAGGATTGCAAATTCAAACCCAGCCTGGGCAACTTAATGAGACCTTATCTCAGAAAATAAAGTGGGCTGGGGATCAGCTCAGCACAGAGGCCCTGGGCTCAACCCCCAGTACTGCAGCAAACAGATCCCACAACCAGATGTTCATCATCCGTAGGCCTTTGCTGAGCCTGAGGTGGCACTGCCTCGGCCTGGGTGGGAGGGACTGGAGTCAGCAGCAGCTCTGTAAGTTTTGCGCAGCAGGACAGAGGGCCTGGGGCTGGGGACGGTGCTCGGTGAGGCTGGGCCCGGGTCCATCTGCACACTTCTGAGCCTGTGGCTGCAGACTGTAGGCCGGAAGCAGAGGCAGCACAGACTCCAGCCCAGCCTTGGTCTGGTCACGGGGTGCTGCCCTCGGGAGGATTCCTTCTCCCACTGCCAAATGGGAGAGCGGGGATGTCCCCCCGGGAGCGGGATGAGGTGCAGAGAGGGCAGTGGATCTGAAATGACTCAGAAATTGTAAATCGCTCGAAGACGTTAGTGCCTGTTACTGTGGTAACCGCCCAGTGATGGTGGACCTCATGTCCCGGATAGCGGTGATTCTGTTTAATTTAATAGCATTGTTATTTTCCCCATCATAAAAATAACATGCATTATGCATGTGTCTAAACGCACCAGACATACACATTAAATTCTGCAATTTTGTCAATTATACCCCAGTAAAACAATTAAAAATACATTCGTTACGGAAAATGTAGAAAACAGAAAAGTAGAAAGAGGAGAAAAAAATTATTCTGTTTTAACCACACCAAAGCAATCCCTGTTAGCATTTTGGAGACTCCTCTCCCAGCTTTCCCTGCTTGCTTGCCTGTTTCACAGGGCTCTGTGATCACTGGTCTATATAATTAAACACGTTTTATATACAGTTTTACATCCTGTTCTTTGCCCTTAGGGGCTTTTAATATGCAATAGCCAGAACCAGAGCCACCCAACCAGAGGCTCCGACTTCAGCCCCTGGGTGTCCCTGGCTGGGCAGCTGCCCATGGAGGGGCAGCGTGGGGTGGCTGGGACCTGGTGACCCCACGCTCAGTGGCTCCGCAGTGGTCTTCCCCAGCACACTGCTTTCCTGGTCTTGTCCAAGTACAATGGCGTGTGTGTCACCTTGATCCATGAACGTGTGCAGCCTCTCATCCCGCTTCTGACCCTTCTCTCTCCTCTCCCCTCACCATCAAAGCTGGCATCCACCAGGGTACAGAGGGCCAGGCAGCCGGGGGCCGTCTCCGAAAGGCGTGTGTTGAACAAGTGTCTGGTTGCGCCTGCTACACATAGGACCACGGAGGCCTTCAAGTGCGCGTGGCCTTGAAGCCCAGGAGCTGCAGTGGCAGAGGAGGTAGATCACAGGCAGGGCAAGTGTCCCGGAAGAAAAGACCAGGGTGAGGGACATCAGGCTGCTCTGCTTGGGCTCCGGGTGCAGATGGCAGATTCAGCAAGGGGCTCACGTTGGGCCTCTGAGGAGCAGAAGTGACAGTGGAGACCAGAGCCCACTGTCAGGAGTGGAAGGAGGGAGAGGCAGTAGAGGAGGCTGGGCTGCACAGAACGGGTTTCCTTTGGCTTCCTTTGGTTTCCTTTGTCTTCCTTTAGCTTTTGGGGCTACTGAGGCCCTAATGGGCTAGGCCTAGGCTTGGCCAGCGCCTCTGCCTGCCTCCATGGGCAGCCATGACAGGCCTGTCCCCCGCAGAGGCAGAGGCAGAGGGCACAACCCAGGGCCGAGCCCCTTCCAGGCTCGCTTACAGCTCACCTGCTGATGTCCCACAGGCCCCATTCAGAGCCATGGGCAGGGGACAGGGCCGGACCAGAGTGGGGCCCCGCCGAGTTCCACGGAGAAGGGCGAAGGTGCACAGCTGGGGTTACTGGGGAGCTCCGCCGGGGCTGTCAGGCCACCCTGAGACCTTTGCTGCCCTGACTGCGAAGTGGGGACCGACGAGGGGGCTTGAGCAGGGGACAGTCAGTCTCCGGTGTCGCCAGCCCCCTCCTCTGCCCCATGCAGCCAGCCTGTGGTGGGCGAGGGAGATGTGAGTGGATCTGCTGGGAGGCGTCACAGGGTCCAGGCGGGATGGAATAAGTGGCTGGAATCCCCTTGTGCTGGGGGGTCCCGGGGCTCCGGAGGGGAGGGGTGGTGACCCCAGCTGGTGAGTGCCACTCCTGCAGGCACTGTGTGTCCGTCTGCGGTGGGCAGGGAAGGGCTGGCCTGTCCCTGTGGCTGGAGCGCGGGCCCCTGGTGGGGTCTAAGCCAGGAGGGCGAGGCCATGTCCGGGTGGCTCTAGATGCCACCGTCCCTTTGCATCCACATGCTGAGGTGTCTCTGCTGTGGTGCCCGTCCCAACCCTGGTCCTCTCTGGGGCTCCCCAAAGGGTCCGTGTGCGGGTCACTGTCTGGCGCTTTGCCCAGCTGCCCCATGCCCGCCCTGCCTGTCCCCGAGGCTTGGGCCCCAGACCACCTGCTGTCGTGTGCCCTGCCCCGTGGAGACACCCCTGCAGACTGCTTCCTGGAGGAGGGAGGGACAGGAAGCTCTCGAAGCCCATCCCGACCCTCCGACCCTCCGCCCAGGGCTGTCCCCTGCTGGTGGCTGTCTCAAGAGCACCCCTCCTGTCTCTCCACAGCCGATATCATCTCTACTGTCGAGTTCAACCACACCGGGGAGCTGCTGGCCACAGGTGACAAGGGTGGCCGGGTCGTCATCTTCCAGCGGGAACCAGAGGTGTGGAGGGGGTCTGTGGGGAGGGGCAGGGCCAGAGGGGCGGGGTTGGGATCGGCGGGTCTGGTGGGGGGTCAGGCGGCAGGCTGGGGTGAGGGCCACAATAGAAGGGCCTCTGGCCCACAGGTTTACCGTGCGTCCTGCCCAGTTGCCTCCCTGAGCCCGGCTCTGCCTGGGTCCTGGGGAAGGGGGTGGGGACGGGCACCAGCAGGTGCAACCATAGAGTTCTGGGGTCCAGCGGGCTCACAGAGCCTCTGAGCCCCTCCACCCCGCAGAGCTTGGCTGATTGCTCCCTGCCTGTTGTGCTACTGTCCTTGACCCCAGAAAACCAGGGACTGTGCTGCTGCGCTGTTGAAGCCCCAGTTAATCTACCCCCTGCAGCCCACAGGCTCGGCTTGGCTCTTGCTTAGGCCTCAGCCCTCCCAGCCTGTCCCCATTTCCTCCCCTGTCCCTGCCTGACAGAAGGAGCCTAGGACAGCTGCCCCGAGGGCCATTTTGAAACCCTGACAGCTCTCGTGATAAAAGACCCCCCATTTACTGAGCACCTACTGTGCCCAGATGCCCTGCTAAGCACCTCCTAATTGCTCCCACAGAGGTACGGATGCACACCCACTTCACAGATGGGGAAAGTCCTGGGTCACCCAGCTGGTGACCAGAGGGCCAGACACAGGACCCGGGCTGTGGGTGCCGAGACTGTGGCCGTGCTGAAAGCAGGAGGGGTGGGTGGGCAGGATGAGGGAGGAGCCGAGTTCGCTCCACCCCTCACCCGGAGCTTCCCCCAGGCGAGCAGTCACTCCCCTGACCGCAGCAGCAGGGCTCACTCTGGGTCCTCGAGGACAGGCTAGGGGCCGCCTGTGCATCAGCGGTCCAGGCGGTGCCGTGGCTGGCACTGTGGGTTGCCTTTTGCTTGGCCTTGGAGAGAAATTAAATTGGCAGAAACCGGTGGCTGTGTTTTGAATTTTTCTCCTTTAGTTGTTTCTTCATTCTGTTCCCCTGACCTTTGTCACAACCTGTGATCATTTCCAGGGAAGTGAACTGGAGGCGAAAGTATTAAAGAGCTTCAGAGCTTTTCAAAAGTGACAGGTGACAGGACTAGGAACCTAAAAATAGATACTTTAAAATAATGAACAGAAAAATGGATACTTTAAAAAATGAACAGAGAGGCAGGAAGCTGTTGGCTGTCTTCCTTTGCCCCGGTCCTGGGCGGCAGAGCCACCCCCACGGCAGGGGTCTTTGTCACAGGGAGGTCTGCTGTCCCAACCAAGATGGAACTGCAAGGCGGGCCGGGGACCCTAACCCACCCCAGGCGGGCCTGATGGCTGCGGGACGTCCACCCCAGTGTGCCTCTGCTCCAAAGTGCAGGCCTGCGAGTCTGGCCAGGATGGACACACAGGCACAGGCCAGCGCAGTGATCGTGAGGCCCTGGAAGGTGCCCTGGTGTCTGGGTCTCCGCCTGCTGCTCTGTATGACTGGGGAGAGTGACCCTGTGCCCCCACCCCAGAGAGGAGCACGGAGGAGGGGAGGTGTGGGAGCCCTTGCTCAGTGCCCAGCACATAGTAGGTGCTCAGTAAACACAAACTCACTGGGATGTGGCTCTTACTGCCTCACTGTGTAGAAAGTGACATGCGGTTTCCTTTGGACATTGAGTTGGACCCACTCACCGGTGCTGCTTAGTAGCCATGATGAGGCGGTGTCAGGCTGTCCTGCAGCTCAGCCCACCCCTGGGTTTCCTTGCAGAGCAAAAATGCACCTCACAGCCAGGGCGAATATGACGTGTACAGCACCTTCCAGAGCCACGAGCCCGAGTTCGACTATCTCAAGAGCCTGGAGATAGAGGAGAAGATCAATAAGATCAAATGGCTCCCACAGCAGAACGCCGCCCACTCGCTGCTGTCCACCAACGGTGAGCTGGGGCCGGCGTGCACGTGGCTGGGGTCCCCGGGAGCTGAGTGTGTTTCTGTGTACGGAGAAACCAGGCTGGAATTTCCTGTTTGTGCTGGCTGGACATGGGTCATTCCCGCTACTGTAAACAGTGCTGGCTTTGGGGGTGTGGGGGCCAGGTCAGGAAACCCAGTGAGCCCTGACACAGACTGTTGGAATCCGGGACCCGTGGCTCGGGGCGCCCCTCCTGGTGGGTGTAGGAAGGCAGAAGGAGCAGGATGGGGTAGGGGGTCCCTACCTCGCAGAGGACTCGGTCTGCACCGCTAGATTCTGCCACAGACCCGGGGTTCCACCCTCCCGCTGCCTCTGAGCCTCAGCGGTTCCCTGTGGGATGAGGGGTGGGTGGTGATGCCCACCCATGGCCTGGAGAGCGGCAGGTGCTGCCGAGCCTGAGGGCTGCTGCCCTCACGGTGACCTGTGCAGAGCATCCTCCCCAGGCAGGGTCGCCCTCAGTGCCTCATCCCCTGTCCAGAGCCCTGGCTGTCCCACGTCCCCAGGGTGGGAGCCCCACCCAGATCTGCCGGGTCCTGTGCTCAGGGCCCAACCTCAGGCACCAACAGAGCCAGGGCGCCACAGTGCCAGTCTCCTCGCTGCTTCCTTCCCCTGGCCATGCTGCGTTTATTCTGGGTGCTCTGCTAGGCAGGGTTCCACCACATGAAGGAAAGTCACCTGCTTTGCTGACTTGACTTTTAGCCTTATGTAAGAACCTCTCACAGCAGGGCCTGAGACATGTTTAGCCAAGGTGACACCTGGAATTAACCAACACAGCTATGGAAGCTTCCTACATGATGTGGAGTCCAGGGAAGTGAGGCTCCCAGGAGCCAGCTGCTGGACAGCAGGGTGCTGCTCCTTCAGGAAGAGCACAGGGGTCACCTTGTCAGCGAAGGACTTTAAATAGTAGGACTGTGTAGCCTATAACCCAGCACTCTGGGAAGCTGAGGCAGGAGGATCCAAAGTTTGGGCTCAAGAGTGGGCAATTTAGGGACTTGGTGAGACTCTGTCTCAATATTATAAATGAATGAACGAATGACTGAATGGGAGTATAGCTTAGTGCAAAGGTCCTGGGTTTAATCCCAATACCCCTCAAACAGAGTAGGGAAGTACAGTGGTCCTAGGTCCGCAAATCAGTTTAAGAGTTGATGGATGTTGGCCCCAGAAAGCAGTGCTGCCTTTAGGATCAGCGACGAGGAGGGAGCTGCATGGGGACAGGCACTGCACAGGGTGCCAGCGGGCACACTGTCCAGGAATGGGGTGACACCACGTGGCCCCGATTTCCATGTGAGCACGCGGCCGGCTGCGGTGGGTACTCCGTGCTCTGCCCTGGTGGTGGGTCACATGTCCGATTTCTCCATTCTGTCCTTAAAGATAAAACCATCAAGTTATGGAAGATCACCGAGAGGGATAAAAGGCCCGAGGGCTACAACCTGAAGGACGAGGAGGGAAAGCTGAAGGACCTGTCCACAGTGACATCGCTGCAGGTGTGCCTGGTGGTCCCACGGGAGAGAGGGGTGCTTGGGCTCTTTTATTAAACCCAGAGGATTTTAGGGCTTGAGGGGCCTTTGGGGTGAGCCCCGGGCCGTTCTGCATCGTGGCTGGGCTGCGTCGTCCGGTGGCTGGGGGCTCTTTCTCCACTGTGCCTCAGTTTCTCACCAAGAGGCTCCGATCTCCAGAAGGATGTGCAGGTGCCACATTGCTCTCCCTCCCCACCCCCGCAGACTGAGCAGGTCCCTGTTGAGCCCCCAGCGCGTCACCAGTAGGCAGCAAGGATCAGTGTTGTCCCTGAAGGAGAAGTAAATGTTTACACACGCTGGCCTCTAATGATGAGCAGATTACACAGATAAGCTCAGAGGACCCAGGGGAGCCAGTTCACTTCTGTGTTGGGCAGGGGGTGGCAATTCCTGCCCCTGCACCCCCAGCCCAGGGAGGCATACGGGGGCTTTATCTAGTGGAGGGATGCAATTATCACGTCTTGATTGGTCTGGCGTTTTGAGGCAGAGCCTGGGGAAGATGGGAATCACACGTACTTCCCTCCCGGCCTGGGAGTTTTCTCTATGTCACCTGCATCCCAGGATGCTTAACTGTAAACTGAGGCTGGAGGAGGGAACTTGGGTGTTGTACTTGTTAGGGTTCTCCAGAGGAACAGAGTCCATAGGATGTAGATCTTTATGCAAAGGATCAGGGGATTAATCAGACCAGCTCACAGGAGGAGGGGCGGAGTCCACAGTGGCAGTGTGCCTGCTGCAGAGAGGAAGAGCCGCTCAGCCTGAGAAGCTGACGATGCAGGACAAGACAGGCCAAGGAGGCAGCGCCAGTCCAAGGCCGCAGGCCTGGAAGCTCCCTGGGGAGCCGCTGGTGTGAATCTGCCTTGCAAGGCTGGAGAAGCTGGAGTCTGGTGTCCTCAGGGGACGGCAGCAAAAGATGCCCAGGCTCTGCAGAAGGGAGCTCTTTAAGTGCAGGCCGACTTCCTCCTCCTTCCCTTTCATTCCATCTGCCTGCAAGCTGATTGGCTGGAGCCACGCCTGCCAGGGCGGGCCTTCCCCTCCATTTGCTAGCCCACATGCCAGTCATCTCTGGGAACACCCACACACCCACCCAGAAGCTGTACAAGTCCCCTAGGCGACCCCTAACCCAGTCAAGTTGGCATTGTGATTAACCAGCGCAGAAGGCCTGGTCAGGCCTTGTCTTGCCTCTGATCTCATTTGTTCATTTTGCTGAAGCCACCCTGATTGTACCTGGCTTTCTGCCTAATCCTAGTCATGATGGCAGAGCCAATGTGTGCTGAATAGCTGCTGCATGTGAGGCCCTGTGTTAGGGCCCAGAGCCCCAGAGATGAATCCAGGACTCACACCCTTCCCTTAAAGTGTCCCAGCCCCCACCTCAGGAGACAAACACAGAATCACCATCACACTGATGTTCAGTGCTGTGGCAGAGGGACACACAGGGCTGTGAGGGCTTAGAAGGCCTTTCTCTACTTTCTCTATTTGGTGAATTCCTATTCACCCTTTAAAACCCTGTCAGCCCTCCCCTCTGGAAGCCTTTCCTACGTAAGACAGAAGAAAATTATTGTGCTTCCTGTGCCCACTCTAGCCTTTTGTATTCCACACCATTCTGTCTTCAGTGCTGGGGTTTGTCTTCCTGTGCATCACCTTGACCAGACCGTGACTTCTGGAGGGATGGGGAGGACGTTTAGTTCCTGACACTCCCAAACCTTCAGGGCAGGCTGCCTTTCTTCCTGTCCCTTTTTACTTAAGTGGCCTTGGTGACTGGTTTGGAGGATGGCAGTGCCAGGAGGAAGCACCGTGGCCCAAGGAGGAGGAGATGCCAGGACTTTGCTGGGCCGGGGATGCCCTGAGCTCACGGTCCAGAGCACCCAGACTTCCTGTCTCTTGCACCTGAGGGTCCACAGTGGGATGGTGGCCATGCCCGGGGGCAGGGAAGGTTTGCGGCAGACTTGGAATATCCCACAGGCAGGGACCAGCACAGGGAGGCCTCCGTGGGTCTAGACACAAGGACACAGACTCCCAGGCATGCACCATGGATGTGCAAACCCAGGCAGCAACACTGGAACCACCAGAGCGAGGCGGGCACAGGTGCCCCGGTGCGTGAGAACATAGGCTGTCACCCGCCTCACCTGACACAGCCCAGGGACACTGCAGGGACCGGCAGCTCCAGCCGCTATGACCCAAAACCCAGCACCCAGGGCTGCAGACAGAAATGTGTTTCTCGTGGTGGAGAGGTCCAGCATGGGTGCTCCTGTTTAGCTGTTGCTCTCTGCAGGCTTCTTCCACCCTCGCCCCTAGGGTCGGAGTCCTCATCTTCCAGGTGGAAAAACCACTGCTTACCCAGCTGCTCACATCTCATTGGTCAGAACCAGTCATATGCCCACACTCAGAGGCAAGGGATCCTAGGAAATGTAGTCCCTATCTGGGTAGCTTCTTCCAGTCATATCATTGCGGAACAGAGATGCAGTGTTCGGTGGACAGTTGGCTGGCTCTGCTGTGTTACTCTTTTCCATTTTACAGATGAGACTGGGGGCAGAGGGCTCCAGCTACTCATTCACAGACACACAGTGGAGAAGCATCCAGGCTGGGTTCAGGACCAGTCTCAGGAGTCTGCCTGGGTAGAGCGAGCAGCTTTTCCTGCAGGGCAGGGCAGGCGAGGGGTGTTTGTCATCTGTCCCTGCTTGTTTCAGTCCCTGCAGCACCAGGATGGACGGCTGCCCAAGTGGTGCAGCCTTTCCTTAGGTCACGGGCCCGATGCACCTGCCAGCCTCCCTGTCCCTCGCCACTCAGCTCTGACCCTGCCCCCTCCACAGGTGCCAGTGCTGAAGCCCATGGACCTGATGGTGGAGGTGAGCCCGAGGAGGATCTTTGCAAATGGCCACACCTACCACATCAACTCCATCTCCGTCAACAGCGACTGCGAGACCTACATGTCGGCCGACGACCTGCGCATCAACCTCTGGCACCTGGCAGTCACCGACAGGAGCTTCAGTATCCTTGACCTGGGGGAGGGCAGCTTCGGGGTGGGTGGGGCTTCTGCTCTCTTTCACTTCTTCATCCAGGATCCTTCCAGTTAGCATAGGTGAGGCCCAGATGTGGAATTATGTGTTGTCTACTTAGGAAAGCATGACAGTCCCAGCTGCTGGGGGTCAGGCCTAAGTGGCTGTGGTTCCCATCACCCTGGCCCTACAGAGACCATGCAGGAGGGAGAGAGCCCAGGGTCCATCACCCTGGAGGGGGACAGCTGGCCCAAGGACAGCTCCCTCATTGTCCCCTCCCCAGGGCCCAAGGCAGCCTGTACCTGAGTTGGATGGACAGCCCTGGGGTCCTGCCCAGGACATAGAGGGGTCCGGGGGCCCTGTGCTCAGTGTCCCTGTTTGAGGCTAAGTCTGGGTCAAGTGTGGTGACTGAGTCCCAGCAGACAGTGAGGACAGGTGGCTGGCATGGAGCCCTGGCTGTGCAGACATCACTCCCGAGTGAGGCTCCGGGTGCTGATGCCATGCCTGGTAGCACCTGTTAATTTTGTAACCGGGGGCTGACACTGTTGTGAGCTCGCAGCTGCTGTCAGCTGGAATTAATACCCGGCTTGTGTGGGGGACACTGCCCAGGTGTGTGGCCGAGGGTGGGGACCTCCTGGACTCTCATGCAACCAGACTGTCTCCGAGGGCCTGCTGGGGACCCGGAGGGAAGGGGAGTGGGCGGCCCGGTTAGAAGGAAGGAAAGAGGCTGACAGAGGCCCAGAAAAGTAGGAGCCCAGGGAAGAGGGAGTTGGGAAAGGCTCGGAGCCAAGCAAGAGGCATGGGGCACACACCGGCCAGGGCTTTGCAGCCAGCCGGAAGCTCTCCCTGGGAGCATGACTGCCACCTCCGACCTCTGTGCCCTCGGTGGAGTTGCTGCACCTCTCTGGGCTCATTTACTCTGATCCCTCCACGTGGGATGAGTCAGCCCCTGGTGTCCTGGGACCTCCACACCTGTCCTGGTCCCTGGCTGTGGTGAGTGGAGGGTGGGAGAGAACTGAGGGTCGGGAGGCTCCAGGAGCACTGGAGAGTAGTGAGGTGGACAGCTCCAGTTCTAGTGGGGTGGGCAGTGCTGGGCTGAACTACTTGGGCTGCAGACCCTGCAGCCCGCTGGTTCCTGCCGGTTGGAGCAGGGGTAGTTGGGGCTTTTCTGTTGCAGGGTCAGACCCCTCACTGGGGCTGCTCAGGGTGAACATGGGTATTCATGGGTCTTTGTAAGAGACCTTCAGGCATGGGTGGATCCAGGGGCTCAAATGGTGTCCCTGGGGTGGTGCTTTCTGGTCGTTGTCTCTGGTCTGCATCCTGGTTTGTCTTGGGCTCCATATGGTGGCATTTGTGTGCTAGCAGCCTGGGCTCCATCCCACTAGGACCCTCAAGTGCACCCCATTGGCTCTCTCTGGGGCTGGCTTCCTCTGAACCAATCACTGTTGAGGAAGGAGAATGCCCTGCTCTGGTTGGCCAAGCAGGACTCACAGCTGTGCTCTGCAGTTAGGGAGAGGGCCAAGGAGGAGGATGAAATGCAAGGACCCCAGGTCTGCAAATTGGGGAGGGTGGGACCCACAGAGCATCCTGGATAGGACTCTGCAGTTTCCAGAGCCATTCATTCTCTCAGTGGGCTCCAAGGCAGGGCGGCCGACACTGGGGATGGTGGAGGAGAAGGTGCTGGGGCAGGGTGGCCAGGAAGCAGGCCAGCAAAGACCCTTCCAGGCCACGCCCCGGCGCTGAGCCCTTCTGACCGGCTCCACCTCCGTCAGCACACTTAGCGGTAAACTCCCCGAGTGGGCGAATCCCCAGATGAACGAACAGTGGGGACCTCCCAACGCCTCCCTGTGCGCACAGGAGGCCGGGGGACTCATGGGGGCTGGGAGTGGGCATGCGGAGATGTGATGAGCCCACGGGTGGGAGTGTAAGCTGAGGCTCCCCGGGGGCGGGGCTTCTGAGCATCTCATTCCAGGAAACCTTCACAACCGTTGCTGCATCTGCTCTCCATGCGTTTTTTTTTCCTCTCAGTTTTATTTATTATCTTTAAATCAGGTTGCTAAATTTTTGCGTAAGTCACCATCTTTTGAAAGGGAATTAGCTTTACTATTATAGATTAAAACATATCCCATCAGCCAGCTGTGGTGGTGTTCACCTGTAATCCCAGTCAGGAGGCTGAGGCAGGAGGATCACTGTGTTCAAGGCCAGCCTGAACTGCATAGGAAGACCCTGTCTCTAAAAAATAAAAATAAAACATACCATATACCATAAATAGGAAGTGGCTATAAAAGATAAATACCATGAAAGCATTTGTAATGTTTATATTTGACAAAGGAATGGAGCCACACACTCTGCGCCAGGATGCAGGATTCTGGGTTCGAGCTGCTGCTCGGATCCTGCTGGCTGCGGGTGCACCTTGAGGTCCTGAGCTGTGACTGGCCAGTGTGGACCCGCATGTTTTACTTGGTGCACTTTCATTTGTTCAGACCTCAGGTTCTGCAGTGTCGCGGCTCTGGGGAGCTGTGTGTCCTGGGCTGGCCGGGCCCCGCTTGAAGCTCCCAGCGGCTCCTTCAGCGCCTGGTGGAGTTGCCAACAGCGGCTGGCTCCTGGTGCCACCTGACTGTTCCCAGGCATGGGGCTTGGACTGGGCCGTGCCCACCTCTGCTGGCCCCTCCCCGGCGTCTCTCCCTAGCCTCTGGCCCCATTGCCTGCTGCCTCCTGCCTGCCTCTCCCCGGCCCTCGGGGCTCCTTGGCCCACCCTGGTCACCCATGTTTGCTATAGATGCAGCCAACTCCAAGCTTTCCGCTGGGGAAGCCCTGGGATTTAGAACCTGGGCATGGCCTCTCACAGGCCCTGCACACAGTAGGGCTGTGAGCGGCCATAGATGGAGCAGCAGGAGACGTCAGGGTGAGGACACGTGCCATTTTCACGTGCTCCCAGGACATGGACATCCCCCGTGGACCCCTGGGCTCCAGGTGGCTCAGACTGTAGACTGCAAAGAGCCAAGGGGGTACCTCTGCTCCGGGGCCCAGAGGTCTGGGCTCAGACCTGTTGCTCATCCTCCCCGGGTATCAGCTTTTATGAACAAAACTTCTTTCATGAACAAAATTTCTCCTAGGATTATTTGTTCTTCTTTTTTTGGCTTGTTACCCTTTGGTGGTACTGGGGATTGAACCCAAGGCCTTTGCACTGAGCTATGTCCCCAGACCACTTTTTATTTTGAGGCAGGAGCTCTCTGAGTTGCCCAGTTTGGGCTCAAACTTGGAATCCTCCTGCCTCAGCCTCTGAGAGTGCTGGGTTCCAGCCATGTGCCACCATGCCCAGCTCTCCTAAGGTTATTTGTACAGGGCAAAAAACTGCACCGTCATGGCCCAGCTGCTAATTAGGATCCAGCAACAAGCTGGTATTATTCTCTATCTCAGACAAGAACCCCTCAGTAGTTGATGTGGGTTCTCATAAAGCCCCACATCTTTGCTCAGTAAAGTTTTTCCCCCATGCTGCAGCTCAACATCTGTTTGGAAAAACCTCTTGCATCCTTTAATATCAACATTTCGAGATGGGTGTGCAGCTCCGGGGGATTTTTCTAGAGCTGGGTGCATCTTAAAGGTAACAAATTGACAAGAGGCTGAGCTGATGGATCTGCTTTATTTTTAGCGCTCGAAGAATTTTAAAGATGGTTTGATTGATTTTTCTTCCCCTGAGCGATTTCTCATGCTGGGAGCGAGCAGCTCAGCCAGCCTCGACCTGGGGTGGATTTGGAATTCTCATTCCTGGTGCAGTCTGGAGGCCGGCTGGAGGAAGGGGAGCTGGGAAGGGGTGGCTCAGGCCACAGTGGTAGTGTTGCAGTCGAGACATCTGCAGACAGCACAGAATGAGCCCTCCTTTTCCGTCCTGAAGGCAGCAGGCAAGATGGCAGACCTCAGCGTCTGCCTCGGGCGGGGCAGCTGGCTGGGCAGCCCCTCCCCGGCTGAGGGCTTCCGGCGTGGCCGCTGTCCTTGGTGCTGACGGCATCGGGAGCCAATGGCACCTCCTTCCCGCTGTCGGTCCTCACCAGGCACTTCCCGTTTCTCCCTTCTGACCGAGGGGGAAACTGAGCCACCCCAAGGCTGGTGATCTGACCCAAGTCCTGCGGCTGAGCTCTCTCGGGGGCCGTCAGGGTGTGGAAGCCACACACCCGACTGTCACACTGGTGCACTTGGGTCACGACTGACCAGCACACACACTCGCCCGCGTCCCGGCCCCGGCCCTGGCCTGGCTGCGCCTGCGAGAAGCGTGTTGCGTTTAACTCTCTTGCAGCTCGCAGAGGAGGCGCTGCTCTCCCCATTTTCCAGAGGGGGAGACAGCTCTGAGAGGCGGGTCCCTTGCATGCCTCCTGCACCCCGCTCCCTCCGACTGCCCAGCCCCCTCTGGGAAACATTTCCTGGTGCTCATGTGAGACACCGAGGAGCAGGCCTTCATGCCCCTGCAGGGCAGGTGGGAGACTCGCCTGTCACCAAGGGATGAGCTTCCTTTCCAAAGACGCCTGCTGCTGCCCCAGCCTCATTTCGAAGAGTCCCCGCCTCCCACCTTCCCTCCTCACCCTGGGGACTCGCTGAGCCTCCTCCATTTTTTATTTTGAGATAGGGTCCCACTAAGTTGCTAAGTTGCCCAGACTGGACTCAAACTTGTGGTCTTCCTGCCTCGGCCTCCCCCAGTGCTGGGGTTACAGGAGTGCGCCACCACACCTGGCTAGGCCCCAGCTCCTGGAAACCAGGGCATACTGTTCAGCAGACCCTCCTGGGCCTTCTAGGGTGATAGCATTGCACATTTTGCAACCTGCTCAGTTTTATGGGTTCTCCCATGCCCCAGAGAGAGAGAAAGCCTGATTTTGATTCTGATCTGGCCAACTCGAGTTTCATAACTTCAACTGTGTGCTAGGCCTTTGTCAGATGTCCTCTCCTCAGTGCTCAGGATGGCCCTGGGCGGAAGTGACCACCACCTTCCAGACGGGAGGGCAGAGCGCAGAGAGGCTGAAGCTGGGAGAGGCCACATGGCTCCGGGGGGTATGGCTGGACGCTCAAGCCCTGCTCTTTGTCAACAGCCCTCTCCCACCCCTGAAATGAGAGTCCTGCTCCCCAAGAGGGGCTGCCCCATCACAGTCAAGAGGGTGCTCTGCACAGAGACAAGAGGGGCCACCACACACTGAGCTGCCCCCACCAGTAACGCAGGGCCTCAGGGTGAGGCTGTCCAGAGGTGGGCGTTGGAGGAATTGTTAGGTCACAGTCAGGTTACTGGGGTGGTGTCCTTATAGAAGAGGGTCCAGGACACACGGACACCAAGGATTGTGAGCACGGGGAAGCCATGTGAGGACACAGGAAGCAGTGGTCACCTTAAAGCCCAGGGACAGGACTTAGGAGGAGCCAGCCCTGCTGTCACTTTGACAAAGAACTTCTGGACTCCGCGGCAGTGGGAACTAAGGAGATGGGAGCCACTGCACCCCATGTCCCTGGCCAGCCCCTGAGGGGGCCTTTCATGGCGTGGCCCTCAGCAGGGCTGCCTCTGTCTTTCCCCACCAATGGCTGCTCTGTTGCCATGGGAACACCCTGAGAGCAGCTTCAGTGACAAATGTGCATGAACTGCGCTCTGCTGGCTTAAATCTATGGAGCCCAAGGCCACGGTCTCCCTCACAGAGCCGTGGTCAGTGCTCAGCCTCAGCTTGGTGAGGGACAGCCCAGACCACGGGTCCCACCATCCGGGCCCTGGGGTGCAGAGCCATGGGGAGAGCTGGGTGTGGCTGGAATTCACTTGCTGGGGTCCCTTCCTCCAGGAAGGCTTCCGTGCCCGCCTGTGTCTGGGCACTGCACTGGGGGGTGCTTGCTGATCTGGGAGCTCAGTTCGTCCCCGTGTCTCTGCAGACCAGCCTGTCACAGCATCTCTACCAAAGCCGTTGGACACGGGTGGCCTTGTTTGGGCATTTATGGGACACTTCCCACACTGGCCTCTCCCTCAGGCTTCTTGTGGGAACGACCAGGCTGGTTCTTCGGGTATGGGCTGGCACCGTGGAGTGGCAGGGGGGACACCGAGCTCCACCTGGTGAAGCTCATCGGCCCCAGGCTAGGCGCTCAGTGGGGGCTGTCCTGGGTGCAGAGGGACCTGGTCTCTGACACTCCTCAGCTCTGGAAGCACACGATGCTGGTATTGCCTGGCCAGGCCAGAGATCCGCCGGTGCCCTTGGCCACGGGAGACAAAGGAGCTTCTTTAAAAAGTCTGCAACCTGAGGACTCTGAAGAAGCTGTGGATCACATTTCCTATGTCCTTGGCTGGAAGGCCTGGACTTCACTCTTGGGGCTGAACACCCTGCCCCCTCGCTTCTGAGCCTTGTTGACTCCCCCAGTGCAGGCTCTGCCCCCCACCTGTCACCTGGCTCCCTCACCTTGGCTGATGGAGCCAGGGAGCCTCCCTCTGGTTGGGTCTACTTGTTTCCTCAGGGCTGTGCCTGTTCCAGTTCCAGCCACCCCTGCCTCTCCCAGCTCCAGAGGCTGTCACCAGTCCTTGTGGCTGTGGCCCTAGGTCACTGCCTCCACCTCCACATGGCCAACCCCTTGGGTGTCTGTCTCTCTCCTGGGTGCCTCTTATGAGGACCCACTTAGATTGGGCCAAGCAAGGTGATCTGACCTCAGATCCCAAACGGTATTCCACCTGCACGGATGCTTCTCCCACATAAACCATGGTCATTTTTGGGGATCAGGGTTTGTGCATGCATCTTTAGGGGGCCACACGCAGCCCCTGACACTGCAGAAAGTAGTCCACAGCGAGTGGAGGTGTCTGGCACTCAGAGGTGATTTCACCTGCCCTCCTCCCCTTCTTTCCCACCTCCTCCTCTTCCACTCCCTCCTCTTCCTCTTTGTCCTCTTCCTCTTTCTCTTCCTCCTCTTCCTCCTCCTGTTCCTCTTCCTCCTCCTCCTCCTCCTCTTCCCCATGTGCCTGATCTTCTCCAGAGTTCCAGGAAACCAACTCTTAGCTTCCAGCACCGTAGCCCCTTGGGCAGACAGAGCTGGGGCGTGGGGTCACACCCCAGAGCTGGGATCTGGGCTCACCTGCAGTGGAGAGGTTGGGACAGTGCGGGCAGAGACCCGATCACCAGAAGCAGCTCAGGGCACAGCTCAGCCCCCGCAGGCTGAGGGTGTGGGCGTGGCAGGAGGCAGTGGGCCCTGCCCGGGGCCTGGGAGCCTGAGGCAGCGCAGCCCCAGGCTGGATGAGTTTTCGGCCTCCTTGACCCCGTGCCCCAGACATCGTGGACATCAAGCCGGCCAACATGGAGGACCTCACGGAGGTGATAACGGCGTCCGAGTTCCACCCCCACCACTGCAACCTCTTCGTCTACAGCAGCAGCAAGGGCTCCCTGCGGCTGTGCGACATGCGGGCGGCCGCGCTGTGTGACAAGCACTCCAAGCGTAAGTGGCCGCTCGCTCGGGGAGGACGGCGGGCTGTGGAGTGGGCTCCTGGTCTCAGCTCTGACTGCCGGGCCTGGTCCGCCAGAGCTGTCAGGGCGCAGGAGCCTGGGGATCCAGGGGCGGCTAGCGGAAGCACCACCTCCTCCGGGAAGTGCCCCTGATTCCGTGCTGGCCAGGGCCCCCCTCTGCCTGCGGCCCCCAGTCTTCCTCCCTGGTGGGCTCTGCTCCAGGGACTTCCTGCTCCCCCGCCCTGGGTGCGTGACCCGTCACCTCCTCCCTAGGGCCCACCAGGGGGCGCCGTGGGGGTCTGGGGCCTAGGGACCCCTCAGCCAGCATCTCTGAGCCCTGCGTGTCCTAACCTGTCCCACATGACAGGGCCCAGCTCGAGGCAGTGCCGCTGGGCCTTCAGGACCCCTGTGGGGCAGGTCCTGAGCTCCTGGCGGAGGCCAGGTGTTCTCTGGGAAATTCCCAAGGCCTGCAGCGGGCCACACGATTTGTGAGTTTGAGGTAAGCTTCTCACACGCGTGTGCCCCGTGCAGTTGGTCTTTCTTTTCCTGTTGTCTCTTTGCCTGATTTTATTACAGTGCTCGACTGTCCTAGCAGGCTGGGCAGCACGCTTCCTTCTCTGGAAGTTGGGACAATAAATCTGCCCAGTGGGGTCTCGGCAAAGCTCACATGTCAGTCTGTCCAGTGTTATTTTAAGGGAGAGGTTTGTTTTTTTTTTCAAAAAACAACCAATTCAATTTCTTTTTGTGGAACTAGGGCTTGAACCCAGGGCCTCTGCACTGAACCACACCCTGTCCCTTTTTATGTTGAGAGAACTGAAACATTACATTGTCCAGGCTGAGCTCAAATTGTGATCCTCCTGCCTCAGCCTTCCAGACTGTTGGGATTAGAGGTGTGCAACACCACAGCCAGATTTTAGCTCTTTTTTTTTTTTTTGGTACCAGGATTGAACTCAGGTCTTTGCGCTTGCACAGCAGGCGGTAAAACCACTGAGCTAAATCCCCCGCCCAACCACAGCCAGATTTTAAAGCTTTCTAGAATGTTTGTTTTCAAGCTCAGTATCTTGCACAGAGTCTCTCTCTCTCTCCCTCTCTCCTGGGGATTGAACCCAGGCCTCACACACGCCGGGGAAACGTTCCGCCCCAGCCAGCCTCTGTCTAAATGCCGGTAGCATGACCCTCGACGAGTCCTAATTGCTCTCCCAGCCTGTTTTCCTGGTCCCGTTTCGTTTGGTGTAAAGCAGCCGTGAGCAGCTGAGCTGTGCCCTTGTGCTGTGTCCGGACTCTGTTGCCCTGGCCATCGGAGTGAGTCAGCGAGCAGGCCGTCTCACTCAGCAGGTGGCTGGTCTGTTTCTAATCAGAACGCAAAGGGCTGATTCCACCTGACTCTTGCCGGAGATCTGGAGGTCAGACTGATTCTCTGCCTCCCACTTGCTCGGTTGATTCATCTGCGCTGAAGCCCCGGGGTGCCCTGGACGGATGAGGAAACCGAGGGTCCGAGGGCACAGTCACCCCCCAGTCCTGTCCACCTCCGGCCCTGCTGGGGCACCAGGCCGCCCCATCCCCTGTCCCCGGCTTCTGTCTCCCTCCCTGAAGCCTTGGAAACTGGGGTCTTTTGTCTGCTAGGCTTTGTGACAGGGTAACCATGGAAACAGCCATCATGCGCCCTTAGAATAGACAGTGATTTCTGGCTTTGGCAGTGCACGTGGGGAGGAAGGCTGAGCCCAGGGTGCAGGGGTGTCTCAGAGGTGGGGCAATGCCAGTCGGGCTCTCATGGACGCAGATGGATCTGTGCCACTGTAGGGGCCAAAGGTCTGGGGTCAAGGCTGTGGCAAGCTGGTCTCTTCCCGATCGTGCCCTTGCCACTTCCGGCCCCTAGAGGGCGCGGTGTCCCTCGGCAGGTCCCCATCCCCTCCTCACCTGTTCCTTCTGCCTGGGCCCTCGCTCCCTGGGTCTCCACGACCCTGTGTCAGCCCTCAGGACACCCCCGGTTCCAAGGTCCTTTGCCCAGCCACACACCTGTGAGGTCCCTTCTGCCACAGGCACGGGTTCCAGGAAGGAGGCCATGTTGACGCACAGAGAAGCTGAGACATTTGCCCAAGGTCACACAGCTAGGTGGCGCCAAGTTAGCCTCCAAGAGTCTCCTGCCATCAACCTGAGGTCTTTCTCTTGAAGTCTTGAATTGTGGGTGGGCCAGGCTCATTTAAAGGGGCCTGTGGGGTAGACACCCAGGGCTCACTCTGCTAAAGGATCTGCAGCAGAAAGGCAGCCTCAGCCAGGGG